CCCCAAAACCCCAAAACCCCAAAACCCCTAGGGATGAAAGAGCAGTTGAACAATAGTATTGAGCATAAATGGTAGACTAACATTCACAAAATCTAAAATAATCAAGTAGTCAGGGCTGCAACTAAGCTTAATAGAATGCAACTAAGCTAGTTTGAAGAACCTCCAATTGCTTAAATTCGAGTATTGCTTAGTATAGAGATCTTCCATGCTCATAACTTTGGTAATAATGAATCCTTTAAAGTTCAAAATATTATATAATTTGATGAAACAATAAACACCACTTGCTTATATGCACTCATGGTTCCAGATAAACCTGGAGTTTTTCAACAAATTATTTGTTTTATTTCCAATGAAAATTTTAATTATTCACCAAATTTTGATGCTCTCTTCTGCTTAGTCTAGTATTATTTTGATCTTCAAAGAACTCCGACACCTTTGTATCTCTGATCATATAGGCTTGGATATCAGCAGCCAATGATTGAGTATAACTGGGTTTATCTCTGGCTACATTTGAGACGCCTTGTCACCCATTTGAAGTCTCTAAAATCCTAAAAGTGCTATCTTATTAGTCTTTAATCTTTGCAGCAATAATTTAAAACAATTTTCAGGAGAAGTCTCCACAAGGTTATGTTCCCAGGTAAGTTCTAAGCTCAGCTACTCCCTTAATGGGTCCATCTAGCTGTCTCTGAGAAAGATTAGAATACTTAGCATAGCACCTTGCTAGCGGCTGATTATAACATATGGAGAAGGATAATTTTCTCGGTTTGAAGCTTCTATTTCATGCCAAATCCTTGCTATCTTTGGGGACCACAATGATAGACTCTCCCAGAGTCATTATAGTCCTAATGAGCCTTCCTATGCTCACGCTGCTTCAATTTTTCTGTCCTTTTCGGAGTCAGAGGTTTGATTATGTATGAATTTTCTTAGATAAGTGAAGACAGTTCAGCTGAACTCTTCTAATTTTTGTTCAACCTGAGAGTGGACCAATTGAAAAAGTCTGAAGTGTCGAGCATCCCAAGTATCCCTTTGGGATGGGAGGGTCTTTCTCCTGAGTAGATAAGAAAGCATCAGAGTAATCATAATAATCAGATTTCATGAAGATAGACTCATCCAGAAGAAGAGAAGTCTTCCTTTGAATATTTTGCTCAATTTTGTAGAAAATTCAGACTTCCAGAAGAGGCTTCAGAAATACAAGGCTGCATATTGGTTCTCCTTGAAATATATGAATAACGATAATTCAGAGGTGAATTATTCTAAAATTTAGTAACAAATTCTCTATAAAAATGGCAAGTCTTCACAAAAAATAAGAACTTATGGGTATTTAGTGGCCACAACGCCAAAATTATCAGCAACATTGCATCTGAAGGCTGGTCTGCTTTTCAAAGAAATTTTGGGACCTTAATGAGGTGAGGGGGATATAAAGTTTATTCATTTCCGGCTGATTCTGCATGCATTTCTCCCTAAATACCAAACTTAACTAATAAAGAGTAGGCTCATAAGTGCATGCTGAGGGTTTCATTTATATGTCGTAAGCAGAGCATTCGAGAGGCCTTCCATCTTTGTATAATAAAGAGTCTATTCGTTCTTCCATCCTTATTTCTAAATTTTAAATAAATTAAATTTTTGATGAATTTCCAGTGTTCAAATTCAAAACTTAGAATCATAGATGCAGACAAACAAATGGGAGATGAGTGAGATGATAAAGAAGGCTGTGGGAAGAATAATCCTTTCAGTATTTCCTTTAACTTATCCTCCCCTCGTTATTTGTTAAAATATCTATGCCTAAAAGGATGCCGACACCTAAAAATTCACCATATCCCATCCCAATAAAGAAGGTTTAGCAGGATTTTATCGAATTATTGTTATCCAGACATGGGGTTTGTTATCCAGAAGGCTCTCTCTTTTAGTTGGTGCAGATGAGTTTGCACTCTGCTTTGGAAACACGCTCTGTGGTCTTTAAAGATCATCCTGCCGACTCCTTCGATGGTCAAGAAGTGCAGTAGGATCTCCAAGAACTCAGGCCTGAACTCAATCTGTCTGAACAGCTTCAGGCTGTAACAACTCATGAGTTTGCCAACCTGCCTCTTGAGGTGTCTGTTTACGTGAGGAATGACTCCGAGTTTGTTCTTGGGGTTGATGATGAAGTCAAGCATCATTCAGGCTTGGGAAGTGTTGCTCTCTGGGAACTTGAGAGAGCAGTACTCTTGAAGCCTAATCAAATAATCTCTTTGCTCAAAATGATCCTGAAAGGCTACTTGGAAGTCTTGAGTGAAGTACTTCTTCATCCTTCTGAAAGCAGCCTTGTAGACAACATCTTTCCTAGTCTTATAGTTTAGACTGGATTCTTCAAGCTCTTCATCAATCTCAGAGAGACCATGATCTAGTTGGTGTCTTGCTGGAGCCTTCACTTGTAAAAGATTGTCAGCCTCAGTTTTGGGGATCGATTTTGATTCTTCAGATTGTTCAAGCTTGAGATGAACAAATTGTTGAGAAACTTTGTGCAAAGACTCTGGAACCTCTAGAGACTTTGCAGAAGTATTTTCTTGTCTATGGCCTCCAACACAGAAGCAGTAGGATGCTTGCATGTACTTGAAAAGAGCATTTAATGCATCTCCATCCGCAATTGATGGCAGCCATGTTTGGTTTTCGCAGTAGTTGGTCCCTACATAAATAGTGAGATGATAGGGAGACAAAGTTTGAAATATCTTTGGGTTAGCAAGAGCAGCAAATATCATCGAACTAAAACTCAAGGGTTGCACAAAATATGGGAGCGACTCCAGCCAATACTTTGGAGGCTTATCTAACTAGAATAGGAGATTTATGAATTAGTACATTTCCTTCGATTTATTATTGCTCGATATATCAGGCATAAACCGACCCTTCAAAGCAGCAATCAGAGGTGGCCAGGTGAGATAGTGGATCAAAATATCCACTCACTCAATTTTATGCAAAATAAGATTTCCCTCCAAACCTTAAAAAGTCTCATCCTTAAGGATTTACACTTTCAACAGCAACTTGGCGTCACCAACAATTGTAGGAACCAAGCTCGCCCATTACATGATTGCAGCCAGAGCTCAAGCTTACTCTGGTTAATCTGGGAGTGGGGCGTCTCAGCTTGGCATCTGCAGAAGCCAGCGAGCGAGTTCTCAACTCAGGAGGCTAGCCTAGGAGATCTTTGACGGCTTTGAAATGTTTTATTCATGAAACTTAATTATTTATATAAAATATTCACTAATTATATAGCCCATGGGGTTTTGGGGTTTTGGGGTTTTGGGGTTTTGGGG